CAGTGATGGCTCGAACTGGTCTGCTTCTTTGTAGGGATTTAAAGCAAACCTCTCTCTTCTGAGGCGACCTGGGGAGAAGACCTATACTCAGCGTTGCCGCTTGTTTGTTGGGAATTTGCCTGCAGATATAACAGACGAAGACTTTAAAAGACTGTTTGCCAAATATGGGGAGCCAGGAGAGGTTTTTATCAACAAGGGGAAAGGCTTTGGATTCATTAAATTGGTAGGCTTTCGTACTGTACGTCCGTATGTTTAATTTTCATGCAATGGTAATTTACATGTTGGTTTTCTAAAACTGGATCTTAAAACTTTCCTCAGGAATCTAGAGCTCTTGCAGAAATTGCGAAGGCAGAACTGGATGATACCCCCATGAGGGGTCGACAGCTTCGTGTTCGGTTTGCTACACATGCCGCTGCTCTTTCAGTGCGTAATCTTTCACCCTATGTGTCCAACGAGTTGCTGGAGGAAGCTTTTTCCCAGTTTGGTCCAGTGGAAAGAGCTGTTGTGATTGTAGATGATAGAGGTAGATCAACAGGAAAAGGCATTGTTGAATTTGCATCAAAGCCAGCTGCAAGAAAAGCTTTTGAACGGTGTACTGAAGGAGTGTTTTTGTTGACAACGTAAGTATTTTACTGCTTAGGATTTTTAGTTTTAAGCTAAGTAAAATTGTTGTCTTCTAGATTTTTCAGAAGGGAGATTCTTATGGAAAAGTAAAATGAGTATTTTTTTGTTCAGCACTCCTAGGCCTGTTATTGTGGAACCATTGGAACAACTGGATGATGAAGATGGTCTTCCAGAAAAACTTGCTCAGAAGAATCCAATGTATCAAAAGTAGGCACTGTCTTTTGGTATACAGAGTATAAAGATGACATGTGTGGTATTGTCTCAGGCTCTGAAGAAGGTGGAGTAATTTTTCAGAAACAGGCTTTGAATTTTGAGTAGTACTTTCAGTTCTTGTGGTTTTTTGTAGTAGGTTTTTTTAGATAGCGTAATGTACTGATTTATTTAGTATATTCACTAGTCATTACGCAAGCAATTTTCTACATTGTAACACAAAGAACAGATTTTCTTGGTATATGTAGAAACTCTTGCAAATCAGAATTCAACTGTTTGCTCATCCTGTCATCTCACTTAAGGCGTATCTCATGTTGATGATCCCATAGGGAATTTATGAACTGACATTTATGGTATGAAATGATAAATTAAGTAAAATTTTAATTAATTCCATGATTAATTAAAACTTAGTTACCTGTGGATTTCCCTTATGAAGCTGACCACTGGGCATAAAAGGGTAGGTAAGAGTCTATAGGAGTCTTTTCTGAAGTAGCAGTTTTAGGTTAGGATCTGTATATTAAACCTGTTTGTTGTGGAAGTGTTGTGTTTTCCCAGATCACAAAACAGAGTGCAAGGGGCAGAACCATTCTTTTTTGTAGGAGGAAGTGTTCAATGTTACTTGCTTTGATCAAAAACTATGAACAGTTTAGAGCCAGTGTCTTTGAAAACAGTCTAGATTAGTATAGTGTTTCTGAAATGTTGAAATATTTTACATTGCTAATGTGTGGAACGCTTTTGAACTTTCCCAGTTTTGTTCCACTAATTACTGAATCTCCCACTCCCAGTTCTTTGTATGACAGAATAAGCTGTTGGCCCTCAGGCATTTTGAAAACTGTTCAAGGTAGTAAAGATTATTAGTTGCCTTTAACATATAGTGCTTTATAAAAATAGCACTATAAAAAAAAAATAAATCAATCTCTCCACATGCAGTTGTTTTGAGCAGCTTTACCTACTTGGGCAAAGGCGTGTCTTGTTTGAGGATTTTGCACCTAGCAGTTGCCAGCAGTGGAGTGTCTAAGGAAGAAGTTAAGAACAACATAAATATGCAGTAGAACTATGGGAAGATTTGGTTGTGCTAGTGCTGGAGTCTCCATACTGCTATGGTAGTCATAGGCTTTATGTATATTAAACGTTGCTGTTTACATCTGTAAAATGCTTACTGTTAACTATAATTCTGTCACAGCAAGGTTTCTATTGCATAGTTGTGAGGTAGTGTTTGCAGGGCTGCTTTGATGTTCCCTGATAGTTCTGCCTGTGATCATTATTGACCTTCAGTTTCCAGGTTTATGCAGTCTGAATGAGCATCTTCCTTTCTGCAGGGAAAAAAACGTTTTGCTCAGCCTGGCAGTTTTGAATTTGAATATTCCCAGAGGTGGAAATCTTTAGATGAAATGGAAAAACAGCAGAGAGAGCAAGTGGCAAAAAACATGAAAGATGCCAAGGACAAACTTGAAAGTGAGATGGAAGATGCTTATCATGAGCATCAGGCAAACCTCTTGCGTCAAGGTAATTGTCTCTGAATTCTGTCGTCTTTTTGCTTTAAGTGCTAGCTTAAATGCATGGCTGTTTAATGGTTTCATGAACAAATTCATCCTTCTCACTGCTAACATGAGAATGTCGGGCTTAAAGAGCAACTGGCAGTTTTTCAATTTTTATTTAAATTAAATATTGTTAAGAATGGTGACAGTCAGAAGGTAGCCATCTGCCTGAGCGCAGATGAAGTTGATCTAATTCAAATCGGACTTTAAATCTGACATGAGTTTGTGAAATAGCTGCTGACAAGCTTCATTTCTGCAGACCTTATGAGGCGTCAGGAGGAGCTGAGACGTATGGAAGAACTCCATAATCAAGAAATGCAGAAACGCAAGGAAATTCAACTGAGGTTGGTTTGGCTTTCATGGGATTTTTTTTCTATGTTACATTTGTTTCTTTTTAAAATGACTTATATATGGAAGTTTTTATTTTTCAAGAAACACCATTGCTGCTTCAGTTTGTGTATGAGAAATTGAACTGCAGTGTAAGTTTTTCCTCAAGTATTTGAGTGTCATTGAGTAAATGACTTCGGTGTAATCATTCAGTGCCTTTAAGTTGCTTGTGCAGGTGGTGGTCATGAGAAGTGTTGAATGTGTTAACGCTGCTGAGGTTTAACAGTCTGCTTTGGGATGATCAGGCAGGAGGAGGAGCGTCGCAGGCGGGAAGAGGAAATGATGATACGTCAGCGGGAGATGGAAGAACAAATGAGAAGACAGAGGGAAGAGAATTATAGTAGAATGGGTTACATGGATCCAGTAAGTGAAATCATGATGTTTTGTGGCTATATTACCATGTTCAGGGATTTCCAGATTTTTTTGCATGTGTTTTTTGAGATTGATGCATTTTGCTTCCTTTAGGTTAGACAATGTAATGTCTTTGCATAGGTGTAATGGTAGTAGTTGGCTGTATGTGTGCTTTATCTCCTGAAAGGTACGGATTTCAGTACTTGATTATCTGTACTAAAAGTTGTTTCTTCTATGCAGAGGGAGAGAGACATGAGAATGGGTGGTGCCACCACAATGAACATGGGAGGTAAAGAATTTTAAAATAATTACTTTATGTGGTTAACTTAGAAATTGTCAGAATATGATTATATATTTCTTTTTCTTAGATCCTTATGCTTCTGCAGCCCAGAAATTTCCACCTCTTGGAGGTGGTGGCGGCATAGGTTATGAAGCTAATCCAGGAGTTGGCCAAGCAGCCATGAGTGGTTCTATGATGGGAAGTGACATGGTAATGTATCCTGTGGTGGCTTTAGTTTAGTACAAGGGAAATGTTGCAGTTGGGAAATGAATTCTCTACCAGTGTTCGATGGTTGTGTAAATGTCACTGTTAACTGCTGACTTTCTTGTCAGATATTTAACATGAAGACTATAGTGTGGCAGTATGTAGTACTAGATTAGTTCTTAACCATTATGGTAGCTTACACAGTTGGAAGTTGTTTGTAAGTGAATTCAAATATGCTGTTAAGCATATTTGCAATTAACTCTGACTTCATTGGACTTGGAAATTCTGCGTCACTGTTAGGCTTGGAAGGATTTTTTACAAATTCTAGAGAATCTGACACATTTCATAATTAAAATACATAATGTAGTAGCTTTTCAGTAATTTGACGTTATTTATGGACAAGTGAGGCTTTTGTTCTCCTTTCCAGTGTGTAACATGGCATTTATTTTGTCCCTTCCAAGCCTAGTTAGGATTGATGCATGTTGGTATGGGTATGCTGTTAATTCAGAAATCTGCGCTTATGTCTATTTAAGCGGCAGATTAAATTAAGTAATCAACGGTAAACAGCATATCACTTATTCTGTATGCTGATGTTTGCCATAGAAGAGCAGAAATGCTGTTTTTTAGCTTAGGCATGTTCCAGCGATCCTTGACTGTAGCCATTTTGTGGTTCCTGTCTCAAAGGAATGATAGCCCGTTCTTGTTTTCCTGTGTTGGGCATGACTACATAGGTAGAGTTTGTTAAAGCTACAGCATATCTCATATTCTGAGGTATGTTTCCAAACTGTACTATTTTTGACACACTATATGTGTGAATGGGCTTTGAGCCTGCTTGGTGTTATCACACTGAAGCAATATGGATGTAGATTAAAGAAATGCTTATTGGGTAGGATGGAAATCTATGTTGGCTTAGGTGGCGATACTAGTGTGCTTTCACCCTCCTGAAAGGGTGTATGCTCTGTAGCACAAGCTGAAGTAAATGATTTTTGGGTGGGTTTAGGCCTCTGGCTTAATGTGGTGAGCTACCATAGTAGCTTGTCAAGTATCTTCCGGTTTTTTTGGGAACCATATCTTTGGAATGATAACTTTGCAGAGCATCATTGATTCAGTAGACAGTGCCGTTGGCCTTAATGTATCTATATAATCTACTGATATTTAAGCAGTTCCTAAGTTTCCTGTGAGCAGTTAAGCAGCCTGTGGTGAACGCTGTGTACATTTTTCTCCTGAAATTCATGGTACAGGTGCATGCTGAACTTGTGTAATACTTGAAAACGTGATATGGTCAAAAGGTGTGACAGTAAGATGGTTTAACTGCCTTGAGTTTCTTAGGATGGGGATCTCTGCCACACGGTGCTGTCACAATTACTGGGCTGATACCTTTTAAAGAGAATTGGAGATAAGCTTAAGCTGCCATGAATTAGGCAGAACCTAGGTAATTGTTCTGAAATTCCTTTCTTGGAAGATTTGAAACTGACTTTCAGAAGTCAAGAACTTGTGCGAATTTTCAGTTGCAGATACCTTTTGTAACAAACAACCTACCATTGTTCTGTTACTCAGTAGTGGAAAACTTGCTTGAAAAGAAAGTTTAAAGCCATCTTTGACTTTTTAATTTGTCAGTTCTGTAGATTGAATGCTGATCACACCTACTGATACAGTAACTGAATTGAAGTACATGCAACTAGAGGTACTAGTAAAAATACCTGAAGTCTCTGCTTTATTGCAGGATAATTTAGCTTTTACATCTTGGTGTGAAACCCTTCAACGCTGTGAAGTTGCGAATTTTCCAAGAGCTTGTGGTGAAGGTGGGGTGGGAAGGGAGGTACTGGCTGGATGCACACAACCCTTTGTGCATAGTTCTAGCTTGAAATGCTGAGTGAGTTCTTTGAACACGTTTTGCATATTATACAGCAGCAGTTCCGGAGTACGTGGGATTTTAACAAATGCAAGTCTTTTGATCGAGCGATTGCGTTGGTTAGGTAAATCACTGGTCATTAGCTTTTTTCACATTTTTTTTTTCTTCTTGCAATCCAGTAGTGCTCACAATCAGTTTTGATTACTGCCTAAGGCCTCTGCAGTTTAGTCAGCAGACCGTAGTCTTAACCCCATCTTGAAAAGCACATGGTCTCTATTGCAGCACATGCCATTAACTGGTGAGTAGGCATTCTGTTTACAATGACATTTTATGAATGTCAGCTCATACTTCAGTGAACTGAAGATTCGTTCTCTGGCTAGGCTTATTTGGAAATGACAGTGATGTAATCTAAGCTTTTACTGCACTAAAGGTGAGAAGTTTGCAAGCTATTTGCATTGACTTGGTTGAAAATTGCTAGAGCTCATTTGGAAAAGTTGTTAATTCACATCTGCACTAATGCTTACATTTCTAGCACTGCAGGGAGGATCTGTTCTTTGTAACAGATGTATGAGAATGCATCAAGTGGGAACATACCTCAAGGCATGTATTACAATAAACTAATTTTTAAATTACCCTTTTTTCCTTTCTATGTTCCCGGTACCTGTGGATCGGCTCAATGGTGATTGTATCGACGAACCTTGACTGCGGAACCTTCTAAAAATATATACTTAACACACATGGACATCAACTACATATAATGAACTGTTAATTCTGTTCCAATAGCGTCCTGAACGCTTTGGGCAGGGAGGTGCGGGGCCTGTGGGTGGCCAGGGTCCTAGAGGAATGGGGCCTGGAACACCAACAGGATATGGTAGAGGGAGAGAAGAATATGAAGGCCCAAACAAAAAGCCCCGATTTTAGATGTGACCTGTAGTTTCATTCCAGTTTGTTTTTTGTCTGTCTTGTTTAGACACCAACTTTTTAATTCTTGCATTTTAGTAAGAAAGCTACGTTTTTATGGATGTTAGAAACTTACTGACCTAATATTTGTAAGTGGTCTGTTTGGGCGAGTACAATTTAATTATGTAATGCAGTGTTTCAAAACAAATTTAGCTGTTTTTTTGATGTATAACGTCCCTAACTTGATGGCAGTGTACCTTGTGCCACTGAATTCCCAAAGTGTACCAACTTTTTTTTACTGTGCTTCAAATAAATAGAAAACTAAATGTAGTAACTCTTCTTGCCATTCGTGGTTAAACATATGAGGCTAAATACCACACCTTCCGCAGTAAACCAAGAGTCTTGAATAGAGGTCAAACTAGACCAGGGTGTGGAACTGTAGTGAAGAGTGAGATCTCTTCCCGTAATGCCTCTAGCTAAAGTTTGGGTTAAACAGTAGCCTAACTTTCCAGTAGGTGCAGATTTTTTGAGCATTAATTGTGCTGCAATAAGGAAGCAAATGGAAATCTTGCAAGTGCTGTAAGATACAATAATTAAAGCTACACTGCAAGCAGTGCAGTATGTAACGAATTTCATATTTTAGCTACGGATAATGGGTGGTGGGATGGTAGCACTTACCACCTTGGCAGTTACTGCTTGGAATCTTTCAAAGACTTTAAGCAGAAGACTAGCAATGGTTATTTTAAAATAAATTCATAGAATGACTTGTATTGGCTGACTTCCTAACTAAAGGATTGTTAATGTGATATTTATATGCTCTTAAGCTGTCTGAGATTACAGGATCTGGCCTTGCTCCGTATTGTATACTTAACCTGAAATTGCTTGGCAAAAAGACCAGAAGTGTTACTTGAGTGATTAAGGTTAATTTGCTTATGTCCTCATGCTAACTGAGTGGACTAATTTGCATAGTTCAGAATACAATTATTTGTATTGTGGGGACTGCAGGAACTATTCTTAAATCGTGTAGCTGGTGGGCAAATCCTAAAAACCTGTATGTAAAATACAGAAATTAGCTTGCTTGCATGATGGTTATCGCTCTTTTATTATTGATGTTTGGAGATAATGCATCAAAAGTAGTATCTGAATCTGGAGTTTAATAGTTCATACTACACAGTACAAATAAACTCCCTTTAAGGTTCTTTTGTAGAAGATCTGATGAATTCGTTAGCTCGCTGTTCATTTCATTAAGCCCCAGAAGAATTTCAAAGCATTTTGGACTCATTGATAAGGTAGTTGCTTTGCTTATTATTGTATTGTATCAGATAAGCTGGGAACGTGACTTCCCAGTGTAAAATACCTTGGTGTTAATGCAGGATACATCAACCTGCTTGGCACAAAGTAGGTAAACGTAGTTTGGCTGTACCTTCACACGACTCCCCAACTACTGAGCATTCTGTGAGTAGCTTTAATCTTCCAAAGATCTTTCCATTCCTTGTGCTAAGCATTGGCTAATTCTAAATTCTATGCTAAATTTTCTCTGTGGTTAAAACTTTGGTGTCAGATTGCAGTATTTTAGAGTGCAGATGATCCCTCTTGAAGTACTCACTGTAAGTGCTGTTACTCCTTAAATGAAAAAAGAGCATATGGTGAAATACTGATACCAGGTAACACTGACTTTGAATATTAAGCGCACTAAATAGCGACTCAGCTTGTTTTGGTGGCCGCTTCTTATTTTCACAGGAAAGTTTGGGGGTTGATAACATGCCACGACAATGAATTGCTCTTCAGGAAATTCCCAATTGGCAGTTCCTAAACTGGACCAAGTATTTGGGAGTACTCGTATTGGATACGTAGTTAAAAAGCAGTACCGATGCAATGTGCTTTATTGAAGTAGTATTAAATAATGCATATGTTTTCTGGAGGGTGTTCATGGGACACCCACAAAAGGTGAAGGTGTCTAAGATGGGGAATTCTGAACGTAAACATTAAATTAATTTTTTCAGTTTATTTTTCAGATTACATGTCATTCTTTATTAAAGAGATGCTGGTGCATATCCTAAAGTATGTTCTTTTGTAGTTCTGTAACTTGGAAGAGTGAAGGATGCTGATGTCCTTGTACCTTACAGAGGTTGTCTTTTGGTACCCCTGTTTTGTACGTAAGCTACTGTTGCTAGGTATTAAAAATAGCTGAGTTGCAAAACCATGATTAGTAAATATATTGAAAGATTTGGCAGTTTTCAAAACATCTGAAAGTTTGGTTAAACCTAGCTTTGTTGTAGCTGCATAAGCAGAATTTCTAAAACAAGTTCTGCTTTGAGTTGCATATATTAAACAGGCATACAATTCTTTTTCAGCCAACTTCTTTTCAAGACCTTTTAAAGGTGGTGTCTTAAAAGCTGGCAAACATGTCAACTTCAAAATCTGATAAAGTTGCTAAATGTGGGAGGGGAGAAAGTTACATTCCTTTGATCTGTTCCTTTGAGGTTTTGGACTTTTTTCATAAAATAAGTTTTATATAATTGAATCTTTAAAACAATTTAGAGAAGTGCTTTGTTGGTCAGACCTGGTTTTGGATGGTCTGGATCACAGAACACATTTTTGTACTGGACTTAGAGGACATTGGCTGTTGCAATTTAGCTTGCTTTATCAAAATTGAGCCCATTTTGACACTTAGATCTCTAAAAACTGCAGCACGTAGAAACTGGTATCGTTACATCTTCACACTTTCTCAGAAATGAATACAGAATAATCTTATCTTCTGGTGTAGACACATTACACTAATCATTTATACAGCTGATGAGAAACTGAAACTGCTTTTGAGATTTTGTGGTATTTTTGTGGTAGAAAAATTCTTGGCTTCTCCTTGGCAACCATTTACTGTGGCAGCAAGTTTTTGCTGGAGTTTGAGACTGCAATTTACACTTAAAACTAGTGGCCTGCTACATAACTGCACTTAGCCAGCATTTCTGCAGTTCATAACTGTGAGGAACGTAGTACCAGAAATGGCAATGGACATTAGGACCCGGATGTAGTATTCCTGCTTGCTCCAAGATTCTCATTGCCGACTGCATACAGGTAGGTAACAAGCAATATAATATAACTTGGTGACTTTCTATGTAATCTTATTCTGTGGGTATTCTGACATCACACTTCTGACTGTGGAATTACAGTGCAGCACTCTTCATACCTGTATGTTAAGCTTGCATCAAAGCTGCGTGGTTTTCGGTTTTGAGCTTTTGTCTTGTTGCGAGTCAATAAGCAACTTGCTGTGATTCTTAGATAAGTATTTTCAGACCCGATTCCTTTGTACATATGACTCTGCTTGTGTGGATTTTTCCTAGTTCCGATGTAATGAAGATATTCTTAGCTGAGCTCTGTGGGGAAGAGGGAATGTGATCTTAAACTCAACTAGTCAACTAGGTGCTATCGGTGCCTAGAAAAGGACTGTTGAAATTCTCTGTAGTGACGAAATGGCCCATCTGCAGCACATCCCTTTGTAGAGTCTTGGCTCGGTAGGAAATGCGTTAGTAATTGCTGCTCTAGCCTTGTGTGCACTACGTGATGGTCACTTAAAGCTTGCTAATACAGTCAGCTTTGAGACTGATTTTGGAATATTTTTGAAGACATACAAATGAATGCTTGAATGAATATCCCTGTGAGTAGTTGCATAGAGCTTATTGGACATTGCAGTTGTCTTTAATCTTTGAGTATAAGACATTCCTCTGCTTTTAACTGACAGTGATGAGATTCTGTATTTCTGCCTCATAGAGTCATCTTGGTAGCGTAATGCTCAATTTCATTTTTCATCAGTCTTGGGGATGTAAACTCTTCATTACTAGAAATGCTGAATGTAGTGGTTTAGGCTTAACATGCTTACGTTTCTAGATATCCAGACATGCTGATCTCCAGCTCTTCTGCATTAGCTCTTGAACCTGAATTTCAAGGTCCCTTGTTTCAGCACATGATTAGCTCTTGTCTGATGTTCAGTTTATTTCAGAGGTGGTGTAACGTGTTTTCCTGCTTGTTCTGCAAAGTTCTGCTTTGCATACTTGTTTTGGGTATTATTGTCACATTTGGACCCTTCTGTGTTATCTTCCAGGCAAGATTCTTGCTGGTGAACAGGGGATCTGCTGGACAGCCTTGCCCTCTGCTGTAGCTATCTTCTCATGTTCCATTGAAAGCCTGAAGTAGCAGCTGCACTTTAAGATCGTAATAACAGGTCTTTGGTTACACCACAGTAAGTGTAGCCACGCTCTAGCTAGTCAAGCAGTGACACCACTTGTCACAAAGTCAGTTTGGCTTTTCGTGATGGCTTACTCTTGTGACTAGAATGCAGTAGCAAAACTGATGGCAGTATGCGTACTGTCATGTAGCAAAACTGAATTATTAATCTTTAAACCAGTGCTCAGATCTGACTAGTTTTTCCAGTGTGCTCTGGATACTTGACTTGACCTGCAGGAATGTCATGGAGGGGTTACTGGCATATCTGCCTCGTTCTACGTGCTTGAACTAGCAGTTTTTTGACATTCTTGGAGCAAGCAATTTGTGACTGAACCATGGGTCTCATACCAGCTCTGACTGTCTGCAGTAATGAAACTTGGTGTGGTAGCTAACTTAAAAGCAAATAGTCATGTCTGCTCTAAGGCAGTCTGTAATGAGTGGGTACAAGAAATGACATTAAAGTGCTTGCATTGTGTTTCATCTTGGTTTTATCTGTGTGTGAAATACACTTTTTCTCAAAAAGCTTATCTGAAGCTCAGAAGTGTGGTGTCAGAATACATATGCGTACCTGCTAGGCTCTCAGATCCAGATACTGGTGCTGTCAGGAGAGAGCACAGCATAGCGTGTATGGGGGCTTTACTGTAACATTAAGCATACAAAGTGTTGATTTGCTTGCAGTTTTCCCCATAGCTAAACACTGAGGCCTGTGAGTAGTTTTAGGACTTGAGCAGTAATGGGGTTGCATGTCTCTGTTAATCATTGCCAGCTGCAGTGACATGATCAGGAAGGCCAGTGTTTTGTTCCATTATGTCAAATGAGGCTAAGCATGTTGGAAAGGATGCATAAAAAGTATGCTGTTCTGGGTAATTACTTTGCTTCTTCCACTACTACTAGCAAGTTTGGAATCAGCTAATTAGCTTCAGATTTTTTTTTTCTCTCCATACCAGCTAGTGGGGCTCTTAAATAGCTGCTTACTGGAAAAGGCAAAAAAGGGAGGATTGGCCTTCTCCCACCTCTGTCATTGCTGCTAGGTAATGATTGACATGTTAGGACTTGGCTGTGCAATCCCGCAGTGGTCTGTGAATACCCCATCTCTATAAATGTTGCTTCTGAACACCAGTACTGAAGAGCTAACTGGGGAGGGTTGGGAGGAGTGTGGCTATAAGTGAATCTGGAGTGTTAAAAGGATGCACAAAGATATAGTATCCCTTATGCATGGTGTTTGTTGCTATGGCATAGAAAACAAAACGTGCATACTATACTTCTGCTCCTGAGGGCCATGATAAAACCCAGGTGGTGGGTTTGAGACTAAACTTGAACTTCTCCCTGCCTGGTCAGATCACAATGTGACCATGGTGTGATTTGCCTCCCAACTAGAGCTGTGCACAGAACCTTGTACTACATCCCTAGCTGCTGACCATTGCAGTTTGCCCTCAGCTTAGCTATATAGCAAAAGGGTGGGTCTTCAGAAGGGAAGAATCTGTTGCTGAGAATAAAAGCAGTAGACCGACAATGCTAACCTCTAGTGTCTTCCTTTGGCTTTTGAAGCACTTCTAGGACTATTGAACCTGAGGGCTGCTAGGAGTCCAGGGACATTGCACTCCTTCATGAAGGGCAAGACAGAGGGCATTACTGCAGGAGACAAACTAGGGTAAAAGAGTTGAAGTAGCTTGACAAAATTGTTAATGCCTTCACATAAGGGATAGTATACCTCTGGCTGCAATCAAACTTCCTTGTACTCAGACTGGTGATTTACGGTTTGTGCTCAGACAAGGTGCAGTTCTTCAGTCAACTACCTGCATATTCCTTCATCTCTTTACAAGTGTTTAGGCTAGCCTATTTCTGCCCCATATTCTTCCACTTAATATTTTGGAATAATTTGTAAATTCCCCCTCATAACTAATCAGTCTATGCATCTTAAAACCTTATTTTTAAGTTAGTTTTGAAATGGTCAGAATTTTCTGTGTATTACTATAATAACTTCAGTTGTTATCCTTTAGGTGAAGATGAAAGCTGAGTGAAACCGGAGTGCTCATCCATGGGAAGTAAGCATAACTTCTAGTCTTGCTCTGAATGGGTGAAATAATACAGGCTTCTGGACACTTGGTGTTCAGTCACTGATTACCTTTGAATTGGTGAATATTGAGAAATTGGTGCAAATACATGCATGAAATGTGTAGGGCAGAACTTTGTACCTGCTGTCAGTCTGCGGGGTTAAGCACCCAGATTTCATCCGGGCTTGCTATCTTTATGGTGGTGGTGAAAAACACCTTTTTAGATGTGGGTTTGTATAAAAGATTTCACTGTAGTTAAAATTTTTTTATATTTTTCCAGTTCAGGAGCTGAGCATGAGCACACCCAGCATGATGCCCGGTGATATGTGGAGGGACTAAGATAACAAGTGAATGAGTAAGTAGATGGTGTCCTTATAATGCTGTAAGAACTCAGTAGCCCATCACCCTCTGATGTATTTTGTAGTTCCTGCCTGAAATTTGCCCTCTATTAATCTCAACTTTATATAAAATTTCTGAATCTTTCTTTTGTAGAGCCAAGATATAACACTGTTTGAGGCTTTTCAGCCCTGCAGCATCAAATAAACTGTTCTCTGAATGCTGTAGGTGGTCAAACAAGAAATAACCATTTCTACATGCAGGCTCCAGTCAAAGAGGTGTGAATGGGGTGGGTGATTTTCAGCAAGGAAAAAGGGGAACAACAGAGGAGCTGCTTCTCGAATGTTAATCTAACTAAAAGTTGTTAAAAAGCCGCTTTTCTGAAATACTTTAATGAACATTGAACTTTCGAAATAACCTGAAAAATGAATTAGCAAATACAAGAGCACAAGCAGATAGCAGTTTAGGGAAATAAACTAGCTTGCAGAGCTGGAATTAATGAAATTTTCCCTCTAATTTACCACTTAAACTACAAGGGGGAGCTTCAGATATTTAAAATCTTGTGTGTGGAGCAACATGCAAAGTACCTTAACTCACGAGCGATGGGTAAGTAATGGCTTAGATATGCCACAACTGAACCTGTGAGATGTGAAGCCAGTGAGATTCAATGGGTGAACTCCTGTTGAATCGTGTGCCATTTGTCACTGCAGCTCTTGTTTCTAGGGTAGTTAAACACAAAGCCATTTCAGATCTTGGAAATGATTAAGTAGATGAAAATGTGAATGCTGTTCATTTAATCTCAAGCCTGATGTAAGAACTCGGGATCCTAGAGAACATTTGACAGGTGCATGGCCTGTTGCGATGCGCTGGTTCCCTTCCCGTGTTGTTAGGTGTTATTTCTGCTGGTGTTTTTAGTGTTCTTGCTAACTGTGTGCTTTGCACTTGCAGAAGAAGATGAAATTCAAATGCAGTGAAGAGGACCCAGGAATACACCATTTAAAAAAATAAAATACTTGAATTTTTTTTATAAATGACTTCTGTTTTATTCCAGAGTGTGTTCACTGAGTAAGCAATCTGTTCAGCTTAGCATGGTATGGATGAATTTGGGAAACACTGCCATAACTGAGGCTGTAGAAGGGCACACAGAAGGTTCTTGGAGCACTGGAGTGAGAAGGGCTTGGGTTGTTGGACCCTGCTCTATAGTGTGACAAGCACGTCATAACTAATAAAAAAGTGACAAATACAGAATACCTATTTTTTTCTGCTGGGATTGTGCCATGGGCTTACTCTTGTTCCCGTGTTCCAGTTCTCAGGCAAGCTGTATTCCTGATGGGTGTGCAGCCGCAGGTGCTTTTGCTAAATGACTAGCTTAATTTTTTTTTTTTATAAATCACACTTGCACCTAAGGCACTTTATTTCTGGAATTTTTACCCATTCCTTGCCCCATCTCACGTGCTGTGTACTGCTCTGTTTTTTAGACCATAGGATTCTAAATGCTTACATGTGCCTTGTTGCTTTTTAATAGTTTTCTTGGTGATGACCTGTAGTAATGAAGCCTGAGATACCAAAGTTAAGATTCTTTGGAAGCCAGAAGAGTGCTGCTTTTAGCTCTCGCAGCACAAATTATCATGTGTAGTTCGTGCTGTCATTTATTAAATACAGTATTTTATTTAAATATCAAGGGAAGGAACTGCAACCCCCAAGAGCAGCAGGGTGCTCCACAGCAGCTGAGCAGGTCTAGGGTAGGGGACGCTGGTGCTGCAGTAAAGGCTTCTGACTGCTGCTTTTCACTTTCTCGGGCTATCGGGTACAGGATAATCTGAGCTATTCTGCTCTCTTATGTGACTTCTTCCAGATCCTGAAAAGCCTTTGGCGAGAAGAGGCTTTGTGGTTCCTCGGTAGCTGTACCACAAGGGTGTGGGTTTTGGTGTCATTGTCTCCGCAGCTACTGCAGGCTCACGCAGCCTTTTTTTTTCTCCTCACATTCTGTTGTTTTCCAGTAACTTGTCCTAATTCCTTTTCCACTGTTGCAGCATCAGCTGCTTCCTATGTGCATATGTTACAGCCTGAACACGATTCCTGCATTCAACGTGCTGAACTTCACCACCTACAACTCCTTTTATAAGCAAATGATGTTTTGCTTTCTGTACTGAAATGGGATGTGTTTTGGAGGATGGCAAAAAGCCCTGATGTTGCTGTTGGCTGTTCTCATCACCTGGTGACTAGCCCAGAGGCTTTCCTGTAAGGGTGGGTTATTGTCCTGGGGCTGGTCGAGCTGATCAGCTGCTTCTGCCAAATGTGTCATTACTCCACGTAGCTCCTGTAATTAAAATCAGAGGCTGGGAGCAGATAGGAAGTACCATGTGGATGGAGTCCTGACCCAGGCACCAGCATTTGTCTGCTCTCGCATCCTTCTGCTGTGAGGGCGTTGGAGCTGTGGGGCTGTGCTGGGGCTTGGGCATGGTATGGACAGTGTGACACCCCCCCCACCCCCGCCGCGGCAGGATGGTGACTGGGTGCCCTTGGCCCTGGCTGCCTGGGAAAGGCAAACAGCGGTGAAGCAGTTTCGCAATGTTTGCATGTTTGCACAAAAACCCTCAACCTCTGTCCTGGCCATGAGCGGGCTCTGCTGCGTGGCCGGGGCGAAACCCCAGGGTCAGAGAAAGGAGCTGCTTGTAAGCTGAAGGAAGAGGATTTCTACAGCGGGTGGCTCCTGGCTCGCTTGAGCAAGGAACCTGGGAGGGGTGACGTGCCGGAAGCCACAACCCCAAGGGCCTGAGCTGCTGCAGGCTGTTATTCAGGGTGGGTTTGGTGTTTTTTTCTATCCTTTCCCTGTGTTGAGGGGCTTTCTGAGTCAAGAAGGGCTGCAGCCTGCCCTGTTGCTGTTCCTCATCCGTGAGCTGGAGCAGGGAGAAGCTGCTCAGCTGCGCTCGCTGGGGCTTTCCCAGCAGAGCTGGGGAGCGATGTGCTGCCGGGAGTAAAAATAGCTCCGTAAAGCCGTGGGCCCGTGGCTGTGGCGGGGTTGGTGCTGGTGCAGGCTGGCGGGGTCACCCTGTGCCCTGGGGTGCTTCCCGGTGCTTGGGAAACGGTCCCTGCTCTTTTGTGATCTATTGGCATTAAAAAAATATTTCCACTGAATTACAGACAGTGGCCTGCAGCACCCTGGGCCCTGGCTCATGCCAATCCACGCCTGCCTTTTCTGGGAGCCTCGTGCGTGCCGGAGGCCGAGACG